ACATACTAGGTACATCATATTATAACAGGGGCGCCCATCTCAATTTTTTGCTATATGGACACAACTATTATGATAACTTTGACATACCCACCTAGCAACAGTGGCAAATATAAGTAGTTGCAGAAAATAAACAAAATAAACAAAAGTTACTCACAAAACTATTTAAAGAAAAATGTTATTTATTATTCACAAGCCATTTCAAATTTATTAAATACAAAACTATTTGATAATATGAATAATGATGATAAAGAAAACATTGTACAGTTAAAAGAGTRAAGCCTTTGACAAAACATTACTTTTTTGAGCAAATAAATTAATAATTTTTTCATTATCTATGTYAACATCTTGCTCACATGAAATTCGCATAAGATTTTCCAGTTTATTTTAAATAGTAAGTACCATTTAAATAGTACACAATTTTTATAATTGACACATAAATACATTTTACATGGGTTAGGTATTTTCAAGTTATTTTGTATTTAATGTAGATTGTCATACCTTAATAGCTTTTATAGTTATACAAATTTTGTTCATGATTATCTTGTATATAAATCATTAAGTATTACTATGATACAGTGGCCTCATTTGTGGGTTGCAAGGGTATGCGAATGCATCCCATGCATTTTTTTAACACACTTTTTGTGTAGATCATTTCATAAAATTATAAAAGAAATTACAATAACTTTGTATTTTTTTTTGATTTGTCACAATATTTTGTGGATCACCAATAGGTACAACATGATACATACACCGTGAAGATAACCGTGTTAAAAACGTTACTAACTACTCGTAATAGTAGAGCCTCAAATAATTTACTCGGAAGTCGTGACTTCTAGCGGCCGGGTCCCCAAAATTGTGTAAAAACCTAGGTAGTTGCATAAACCTTATATAATTGTAATATGTATAACATAAAAAATAATGAAAAAAAAGTCAAGGGGCAGATCTCTAATTTTCCCCCATAAATACGCAACTGACTTAATTAAAATAATATAGTTTTAAAATTTAAATTCCTACTTACCCAAGTTTGTATGGATTTCGCAAATTTGTTCAAGTTTTTGTTTTTTCGTGCAAAATGATGCTATAGAGCGCGTATCTTTTAATGCCTTCATAATTGTACAACTTTCTAAATGCCGAAGCCAATTTGTATTGTTCAAATTTGCTTGAGTACGACCGCAACGACATTTTTTTATTTTATTGTCACTCATAATATCAATAATAAATTAAACGTGATTCGTAATACAAAAACACTTTATACAAAAACGTATATAACAATATATAATAATAATATTGGTAATAAGTAAAAATTAAAAATTAAATTTAAATTGATATGACTGATATCGATATAACTGGTAGTAAACATGAAAAATATTAACTGTTAACAGTATTACAATAATTCACGTTTATTAGGTAAGTATATAAATAGATTTATCAACTATCTCCTGCTCGGACCCGCACCACAATAAATAAATATCCATTTAGCACGATTATGGATGTCTTGTCGATTGCTTATCTTGTTCTGTATAAACAATGAATGTTTCATACTTCATCAAAATCCTACTTATTTCTCAGTACTCTTAGTATCTTAAGGTTTACTTTTATCTTTTATATAAATATCAAGTATCTTTTTTTTTTTTCTTTTTTTTCCTTATGGTATCGAGGACTGGAGGAGGAACTATGGTGCCAGTACTTCTCCTCCAGCCACCATCGTTTATTGTTCAAAACAAAAACATACGACARTTAGCAGCGGCGGGCCAATCCCCCACTCGCTGCTATTACATGAACAATTGGGCTATATAATACATTAYAACGGTAATCCCTAGTTGCCTTAGACTACAAATCAATTGTTGCTGCGATTAACTATGGTGAATTATGTCGGTTCACGGCCTGTCGCACCCGTTCTTCCTCTTCCTTGGCTGAAAGGATGTTTTCCACCATGCCGTAGAACAGCCT